AGAAGACCGAGGTGCAGGCGCATCATGCCAGCTCGTCGTCCGGGCCCTTTGCAAGCAGGCGGCAGGAATATAACGCGGCAAAAATGTACCAATTTGTTATATTTTTGTAATTTCTTAAGAAGGTCGTTAATTGGTTTGCGTAAATAAAAACACATCGCCGGAAGCAAAAACATTGTGACGATCGAGCTCTAGCGGTTGCGATATAACGCCAAAGTTTGAAAGCCTACACTTCTCTAGTTCGAAAGGTAAAAAAGAAACACAAGGTTCCTCTATAAGACGACGTCCATCTGGGCCTACTATCGCCAAAACTAGAAATGACGTGTCGGCATCTTTAGAATGAATTTTAGTAAAAAAGCGTATCAATAAAATTGAAAACAATATTTCCTTTCTTGCTGCCGAGCGTTTTTCACTGATATAAGTGCGGTATGTGTGCCCAGCATTAGTCTATTTTTTTACAATATTAGGCTTAAATGGACATTGGCTCATTGATAAATTTGTCTTCTCTTTCATTTTTTGGTTCAGGAAACGCAGCATGACTGAGTTAGCATAAGAATAATGTTGTGTTGCACACGTTTTCCGACAAAGAAGGCTGAATACGGTTAGTCGTTAGTTCACTCCAACACATGTTACACATAAGCTTTCAGCCAAACGCAGATCTACAATGGTCACCAAACTTATACGCAACAATAATACGCAGTTCTCGTGTTCCGCATAAACCTCGTGACCGCTGCAGAACTATTGAAGCCCATATAACGTCTGCCTTCTGCGTTCCTCTTTCGTTTTCGCATTCTGTCCTGTCCACATATATACATCATCTTTCAAGCCATAAATGATTCAAGTGTGCGTTGAAACCATTGGAGATTCGGTGGCTTCGTCTGACGTCGTCAATGTGATAGCGTAATAAGGTGCATACCCGAAGCGATTGGAGTTTTCGTTGTTTGAATCCTTTTCGGTCATAAGGCAACAAATTAAGTGTCGTCAGTAAGTTAACTTAATTTCATTTATAATTTTTTTCACAATACTGCAGCCATTTCAATCCAAAGCAGAGTCGGTCAATACAAAGTTCGTAACACTTTACTTCGTGTGCCGAAAAATAAAAGGCACTAGCATGGTGTGCCGCTAACATAAATAAAGTTAAGGTATTAATAAAAAAAAGTATACTTGTCAATAAAATGGTATTAGTACATGAACGGTTACACGCAGGTGCATAATTAAGAAAATGAAAGAGAACGCAAAATTGCACACAAAAGACTGCTGTGTTACAATATTACACAATTTAAAACTACAACGTTGAAAAAGGAAACTCAATGAAATTATCATGACTGCCCATACTAATTGCCTAGCAGACTAGCAATGTTTGTTATTTGTTGATCATGAAGAACCATCACCTTTAAAGTAAAAAAGAACATGCTTTAGCAAATTTCTCAACAGATGAACAGTTCACAATTTTGTTCGTCAAAAGGTTCCATTCATCGATGGTTCTAGCAAAAAAAAAATGAAAATATAAACACACTTATAATCTATCAAAGAGTGCGATTATGTTTCGAGTTATTTCTTCGGGTAGAGTGTTTGAAAGGGGGGGGGGGGGGGGAAAGTACGACACAGGGTCCATACCCGTTTGTTTGTTTGCAATACGGTACAGTAGTTTTAGTCTTGATAACGTTTTTGGTTAGACACAGTTCGATATTTACTAATGAAACCATATCGGTGATAGACTCTGCTATTTTGTAACGGCCAAAAACAAATCGCAAGCTCTGATTTTGTAATTGTTCAAGTAAAGAAGAATCAACCTGGGTCCCGTACTGTGCTTGGACACTGGAACATTGGCCGGATGGGAGTTTTATAGGCGGCCATTCTTGTCGGTGGTGGGGGCAATCTAAGCTTTCTTCCAATGAAACAAAGTTTTCGATTATAAAGATGAACATGTATTATCTATGTGCACGCTCCAACTGAGGCCAGGCGTGAGGGTTACTGCTAAATATTTCACGGAATCAGCCCTGAGAACTTCAGAGCAATTAAACGTGTAGCAAGAAATCTCTGGCGTTTCTCTGGCGTAAAGGTGATCGAAACTTTTTTGTGAAGGTTAAGTTTTATCTGCCATTTCTGGCACTAATGAGATACCATACAAAGTGTGTTGTTGAGCATAACTTGATTATGAGTAGTTTCCACTTTTGTGTGGCAACGCACGATCATCTCGAAAAAGTCTGATTTTAATTTGTGCATCGATGTCATTCACAATGTCATTTAGGTAGCTGATAAACAATAAAAGACCCAGCACAAACCTCTGGGGGACACAGAAAACAAAACTTCAAGGGACTCGAAATGTGTGTTTTTAATTTCAACGTATTTCACTCTGTTGTTTAAGACCTGTCCACTCTAGTAAAGCATCACAAATTTCCGCTGCTCTTAATTTAAAAAGCACTGCATTATGAGGCACGGCGTCGAAAGCCTTCGAGAAATCGATAAACACCGCATCGGCTTGCCCCTTTTCATTAAAGGGGGACACTAACCAGAAAGCAAAATTTCAGCAAAAAAAGGTCAGTTTTGAATAATACCATATTTACATTCACTAACATCTAGAGAGTATTTCCAAAAAAGTTTCATTCGTTTACACTGTATAGATATATTTTTTTTATAAATGTTCTTCAGTTCGTTGATGCTAAAGGAAAAGTAGAGGTTCGAGCGCTTTGAACGCCTTTTTCTCCGTTACACTCTTTGGTATAAATTCGACTATAAGAAAAATATCGTTTGGTAACAGAACAACAACATAACAGCATCACTCATTGCTTTTCTTAATTGGGATTAATAATAATTGACATTTTAAACTTCTAAATTGGCAGCCAATTTACTTTGTTTTAACAATTTTCTCATTTACTTCTTTAAAAACTTTAAACATTTTTTTTATTTTTTTTTGGGGGGGGGGGGGCGGTTTAATGCTTTGTTCCATTCTATGCTGGTGCCCAATGAAAGAGTCCTGTTTTCGTCCTCATCCTCGGTGTTTTATCCTTTCAAGTATTCGTATAGAATTTAATGGCCAATGCAACTGTGTTTTTTTTTTTACTTTGTGGATGCATTTTATGAAAGATGTCAAGATTTTGTCGATTACATAAAAGACAAAATATTTATTTAAGTTTTCAGCGCATTATTGGTATTAAAAAAGTTACTTTATGAAAAATTTGTTTCCACAGTTGCACTCTCGAGGCATTCTGCGTCGTTTCTATTGAAAAAAAAACATATTGGTTATTACACTAGTTCTCCAAAGATAGTTTTCTTTAAAAAATCTCAGCGTGTTCTTGATAAAAATTACTATAATATCTATTTCAGAATTCATGTACACAGATTAATCTTTGCACTGCAAAGCATTCTGTCAGCTTTTGAGCAACATGACAAAGGTTTACTTTTTACTCATGAGCCACCTGACAACAATCATTTGCAGTTTTTAGATATTAACATCACCATCAACGAGCGACGTGTGTGTGGAATGTATCGAGCTCGCGCACGGAAAAAGTTACTTTCTTTTGATTCAGCTCGTTCGAAGACGGCTAAGAGAGCTATTGCGACTTCATGCCTGGAGTCTGCCCTGCTAAAGTCTTGTGATCACCAGTCGAGTAGTATTGATTCTGTCTGCACACCCGAGGAAGTAAGTCTTAATGTGGTCCAATCTATTCCGGGAGCATTAAAATGTCCACCCTTGTCTACATTTCTTCTATTCTTAATAAACCCAGATACGTTATCATACGTTATCTCTAAGAAAGCACCCGGAGCATTTGGTGCCCTGTAAACAACAGCAAGGACGAATAAAACTTTTCCGAGTTCAGCTTTTCACCATGAACTCTCGTGGTTTTGTATTCTTTCCAAAAATGAGCAGAAAAAATTGTGTTTAATAACAGTGACCACTTCTCCTCCACCTCCTCCTCAGGAAGAACGATAGTTTCGTAAAATCTGAGGAGTACAATGAACCACTTCACAATCGCCAATCTCTGAATGTAGCCAGGTTTGCGTAATTGCGTTTATGAAAGCTCCATATTGCCACGTGCGTCTCCGACCAAGCACGCCCATGGCCGAATGATTATCGTGCTTGGTTCCCACGCAAAGGGCCGAGGTTCGATGTCTGTGAGCGTACACACGTTTTTGTTGTTTCTGTAAAAATGTCGCGTTCTGATGAATTCGAGAACACTGTTGTCTACTCCAGGTCCGAATGTTCTACGCGCCGAGCCTTCCACGCCGACTGTTCCAGAAGTCCACGCATGTACATACGGGACTCCGCGTGGAGAGCCGCAGTCAGTCTCGCCCCAGTGCTCGATACTTCTGTTACGCCGACATCGACGCCTGCGACGCTAGTATTTTTTTTTAATTTTATTTTGGGTACAAGTTCGTCCCCTTAAACGTTTAGTTTCCGCAGTCATTCGACGCCTCATCAATTGTCATTCGTGACATATTTGATGGAGGTGCGAGATACCGCGTCCCATGCCTGTGAAACGTACCCCTCAGAAGATCTGTCCTGCTCGACCTTTTACGAGTCCCGGAAAGCTTATCCCCGTTGACGAACCCGGAACACGGACCAACCGCCGTGTCCAAGGCCTGCCCCCGGACTTCGTCACCCTACCGTCGAAGCCGACAAGGACTGCGGCTCGCCACGCGGAACCCCTTATGTAAGTACGCGCGCAATCTTCTGGAACAATCGGCGTAGAAATTTCGGCGCGTAGAACATTAGGACCTCGAATGAACAACAGTGTTCTCGAATTCACAAGAACGCGACATTCACAGAAACAATAAAAAGGAGCGTCTGCTCGCAGGCATCGAATTTCGGCCCTTTGCGTGGGAACCAAGCACGATTACCATTCGGCCAAGGGCACGCTTGGTCGGAGACGCGCGCAGCAATATTAATGTATGATACCCTCAACGTCAGCAAGTTTGTTTACCATAGTTCGCGCGTTGAAACTCGCCATAAGATAACTTGACGACACTCATTCAAAATCTCTGTTTATGGTAAGTTTATCCTAAGGTAACTTAACTTTGTCGCCTTTATCTCGTTCGATTTTGACGACTCCCATAGAATCTTTCCTCGTTGCAGCGTGCTCCAAAAATCTCCGCCTAGAAATGCGCGCAAACATTTCAGCTATGAGCAGATCTTCAGTAGCTGCTGAAGTTTTCAGTAGCGAGAGAAGGTCATGATGATACGCGTGATTTTTTCTTCAGTTGTTTCTACGAGCCTGCAAATTTGCTGCACCGAGCAGACCTCTGACCCAAGGCCATTTTTGAACAAATCATCAACAACCGCACTTTCCAAAAATTATCAAAAATTCTCTGGAGAGGCAACGAGAATTAAGTTATAACGCCTCTCACGGTTTTTTAAGTCACCTAGCTTCTTTCGCTGATTAAGTAGGGTGTTCTGTAGAAGAAAAACAGTATTTTCGAGATGTACGACCTTTTTTCTTTAAGCACAGTCTTACATTTTTCATCGAGATATGAAATATTTTTGTTGATGGCATCAAGGCTGGGTTGAGTCAGATCTTGACAACTGTTCATACTTTTTATATCTCAGCAATATCATTCTGATTTTGTAGTATCGACTTGACCATTTCTTCAAGCTTAAAGTCATGCCCTGGATTTTCGTGGACGTCACCAGCAAGCCAGCAAGGTGTAAAAGTGAGACGGACCAGCACTCTTTCATGCTCATAAAAAGGTGTTTTTGGCAGGTACAACAACAATACAAAGGAAATCACTCCGGTAACACTTGCAAACATACTTGTCAAAATCAACACCAACCTACTAAGTTCATGTTAGTATTTTATACTAAGTTCACACGGGTATTTGATATTTGTTTTATAATCTGATAGTACACCTTATGTAATAATGTTAAGCCCTTGAGCCTATAATAAATAAATGGAATAAAGATATCTTTCAGTGAGACTTGAAAACGTTGTCCTCCGTAAACTAAGTAGCCCTCCACACGTTTTGAAAGCTCGCAACCTTATAATGAGCTTGCGTGCACCTGGTGCCCTAATAGAAACTGCCAATGACTTGAAACCGAAAGCCCACTTATTTCATAACAACGATCCTACTTTGTTTTTTTCTTTTTGCGCGAATCAAACTCAATTCCTTCATTAATTATTTCATAGAAACCACGATGAGCGAAACAACTATGCATTCCACGTGACTTAAAACGAAAAAAAAACTAGTATGCAAAGGTAACCCGTGAAGTTACCTATTCTAGCACATACCAAAGACATACAGCAGACTAAACAGAAACTTCTTACTTTCTTTCTTTTTTTGCGCGTGTTGTCAGTTTGTCGCGGCCACTTCATTTCGACAGAATCTGTCCTAGAAGAGGCTCGATAAAATTTAGAAGGGGTAGAGTGGTGGGAGGAGGCTGGGAATACGAAACTGGAACGTGGAGTCGTCGGCCGGCGTTTGGGATGTAGGTGAGGAACGGCGGCTTTGCCGAAACCTGTCGCTGGTTTGCTTACCGTCCTCTTTCATTTTTGGGTGTTTAACTCGCCCATTTTTCATTAAGCTTGGTATCAGTATTAAATCACGCGTATGTTTATAACTCCGTATCACGTTTAGCATTGTTACCGACCCCCTTAGGAAATACTGGCTTGAATTGTGATCTTTGATGTTTTGGTAAGTAATAATCGGTATTCTATCATTGCCGTCTTTAATTCTTTCGGTGAATATTAAAAGTTCGATGCTTATTAGCTGAAACCCGTCTTTACAACGTGTGAGAATATCGCTTCGAATCGAAAAGCGCCGTATCACCGCAAGCTTCACCACCATAAAAGGAACCGGTATGTATATATAGTGCAAACCCTCCCCCCCCCCCCCAAAAAAAAAAAAGAAAAAAAAAAGAAAATGTAGTTTTCTTTTAATTTTTTTTGCTGCCAAAAATAAGTTGCGAATCGCGGAAAGATCATTTTCCACCCAAATGTAGTGCTAGCGGTTCGAAAGAGATGCCAAAGTTTCAGCACTAAGCGCTATTTTATTCGAAAGTGATAAGTGATTTTCTGTAAGTTTCAATGGGAAAATGGCGGCCGACGGAGTTCTCGAATACATGGAGCTCTATGGCTGACAGTTACCGAATACGGAGAAAAATGGGCCTCATTTTCCCAATGAAGGTTTTAAGAGAATCACTTGTAACTTTGGAATAAGACAACTGTTAGTGCTGAAAGTTTGCCACCGTGTTCGGACCACGCTAGCGCTACATTTGGGCGGATAACGAGCGTTAGGCGTGCGTAGTTTATTTTTGCAAAAAAAGAAAAACGATGTAATGTTGTTGTTGTTGTTGTTGTTGTTGTTTTTTTTTTTGGGGGGGGGGGGGGGCGGGGGGACACGCTGTGTAGTCACTGATAACTAGCGCAGGACGTGGCGTACTATGTTTACGTAAACTTGACTCGTGATTGGTCCTTTTCTGTTCTTATCAGCGAATGCCGCAATTTAATTGGCCGAGAAGTGATAATGAGATGATCGGGACTCGCCAATGCAGCAGTGTTCCATTCGAACCACAATTTTCACACCCCTATTGTAGTTTCGTTTTTACAAGGTTTTGCTGAGGGATGAATGCCCCAGATCCTCAGGGATGCTTTCGCGACGCGTTCGAGGCCAGATGGCGCCACTTCCCGACGACTCGGGAATACGTAAAAAGAAGAAAAGGGATGCGTTCCTCAGGTTGTGATTGGTATAGATCAATATTGTATTACACCCGTCTACAGCTCTTCTTTTGAATACGACGACAACTCCACTTCTTCGGCTAGAGTAGAAATATTTTGGGACTATTTGCTGCGGTCTGAATGCCCGAGAAGGCTTGGGTAGTCAGAGCCGGTATAAGCATTACACACGGTTCAGGATAATAACACGCTCATCGTCTTGTTGCATAACATCCTTGATTCTAGTTAGCGTATGCTTAATGTATCTAAAATAGCACGAATCGCATTTTCGTCCATCAGAAACGTAAAACTAGATTGGGACAAAGTAGAACGATGTCGTCCAAGCTCCCTGAGAGCGTCCCTACATCTACGGAAATTCGGATTTTTGAATCATAGGGGTCGCCCATCCTTTATTAGGCACTAAACAATTATGCTGAATTTGCTGCTGTCGCTAGCTGTTTCTCGATGAAATACGTTACCATTTAGCGCGGGAGTTTCGACTCGGCTAAGGATAGGAGCTCCAACCTTGCGACGGTCCGCGTACCGTTGTCTGCGGAGAGTTGCAGTATGTTCTCCGGGGCGTCGGCTGTTTCGAATGCGGCCAGCACAGCTTCTCTCGATCGCCGCCTAAGGCCAAATGCCTGCTATAGATAAGAAAGCCTAATTGCCGAATTTTCCTGCGTCACTAGAGAAGGCCACCGTAGGACAAAGATTGTACACGAGTACGACGTCATCATTATAGGCTGGGAGTCGTGTTTTCCGTGATTCGATACGAGTTTGTGCCGAACGCTGACACAGTGAATCGTGTCCAATCTGTGGCCTACGGTGGCCTTGTTTACTTACGCGGGAAAGTTTGGTACGTAGACTTTCTTATATAGGAGATGCTGCTAAGGTTCGTTGTCTTCAAAGAGTCAATTTTTCTTTCCAGGAGTCGGAGGTTTTTTGGCGCAAATGGTGTCGACACCGCGCTTCGGTTTTACGTTGTCGCGCACTTGTGTTACCGCCACGGCCGCTCAATTGCCTCCTGTTCCGCTTCCGCGGCGCGTCATTGGAAGCGTGCCAAAAGACTCTTTCGCACTTGTAAGAAGAAAAGTGGACGCTACGATCGACCGAGACTGTGTTCCAAATCTTACCCAAATGGATCCGAGTTACTTCGGCGGATCGTATCACGTGACATCACAAATTGAAAAACGCTGGACGCGGGTAGGTTTTAGAACGCCAAGGGTACAAAACCCTTACCCTGGAGTAAGATCGAGTAAATTTTGGAACACGGCCCGAACGGAGCGAAAGAGGCAGAAAGTAGAACGAACGCGAGTGTCGCTGCCGTCGCCACGTCCCAACTCCCGGCTGCAGAAGCTTTCGTGGTCTGTCAAGCTGGAGAGCGACCCGCAGCAGAACAGGCGTCTGCCGCATCCACCTCTGCTGCTTTGACTCCGCCAGGATCGCGGCCGGCGACAGCGTGACACTTGTATGACGTCATTAGACCACTTTTTGGGCGCGGTAAACGAATACCACCTATTGAAGACGCTGCGAGACGCACTGGTGGCCATGCGAAGGCGAGCTATAGGTGGCGCTCCGTGGATTCACAAGTGATGACGTTTTGAGGGAAAAGGAGCTAGGCCTTGTCTTCCGGTTGGCATGTAGTGAGCACACCAGTCGGAGACGCGTTCGAGGCACCATAGACTGACACCTCCAAGACGTAAGGATTTTCCGACTCACCGATGACTCCGGCGAGGGCGGGCAGGATGAGTCCCAGCGAAATAAGGCACTTCATCCTCCGTCTTCTGGCTCGGGCGCTGTTGGAACCGGGACCTCCCTGCTTGACGAGGGGAACGTGCGCCCTGTAAGCTCCGCTGGGGCCGCTATGCACACTGCTGGAAGAACCGGACGTGCCGCTGGACGAGATGCTGCCCGGATGCTGGAGCTGCTGGTGGTGGCCCTGCGGGTGGTGTTGCAGATGGTGGTGATGGGACTGCAGGTGGCCCGGATGTTGGGGCCGGGACAGCGGCGGTCGGCCCAGGTACGCCCGGTCTGCAAGAGGGACGGTTCCGGAGGTTAGAGCCGGGACAAGGCGGGAAATGGGAACTGCGCCCAGGCAACACAGTCTCACAGTAGCTTGGAAAAAGGCGAGGGCTACGCTGCAAGAGTATGAAGCGTTTGCTATTTCCCAAAGCAATTGGGAGAGCCACATTGATTTTGAATGGTCCAAGTGATGAATCTTTTAGTAATAAGAACGCATTGGTGGTGTAGTCATTTGCGACAGTCGATACAACCTCCTGCTCCTCTGCACTTCTTAGCTTATGTTTCCGCTTCTCAGCGTAGCTCCGCAGCAGCACTATACTCGTTGTCGATTTTCTGTGGCATTTCAGAAGTGAAGAGGCTTTGATTTTTCTCGCCTGGTATCGGTCCAGGATAAGTTAAATCCTGAACAGGGCAGGTTAAGTTCAGAATAAGTCGGTAAATCCGAACTACGTCTGGGGGCAGGACAGGTAAATGCATGAAACCCTGAGTGAGGCGGGAAATTTTAATTATTCGTCATTCCTTTGAAAGTGAGCGCAGTCAAAGGTCGGAAGACAAGCGGCCATGGATACTCATATTACATAAAGCGGAACGTCACGGCGCAAGAAACAATGACGAATGCCATGACGTTGCGATTTTAGAGTTGCTTGATTGACTCCATCCATATGTGAAGTACAACGAAGTCCCGCGAATAGTACAATATGTTTTCTTTTTGTGACAGAACAAAGCCCGCACGTCTACTTTACATCGGTGTTGGAACAACCAGCAAGAGACCAGCAAACGGCGGGCGCCGATAACAATTATATTCCTGTACAAACCAAAAGCTGCTTCGTTGTTGTCTTCCTGGGCTTGTAATCAACCACTATACCAATCGCGCGCAGTGAATGCACCGTGACACTGCACTTTTTTTGGTGCGCGGCTGATATGTGGAAAGCAAGCTGTCTGCTTCTTGCGCAGGGGTTTGCGTTGACGTCAGTACGACGCCGAGTTCTGCTTGACTTTGATTTGTAGGATAGTGAGTAGGCCTCAATACTAGATGCCTTGAACTCTACGCATTATTTTATTTTTAATTATCCAATGAGAACTCTGCGTTATGACGTCACCGCAACACCTGTGCAAGAAGCAGACGAACTTAAAGGGATACTTCAACAAAATTTGAAATATATCCGTCGTGTTCAAAAATAGGTCGATTATGATCCACAATATCCGTAAATGACAATCGCACGTTTGTATTTTGAGCCTCGTGGCTGTATTTTTTGTTATAAACGGCCCACTCTATCAAGCGCTCGGAGAAGGCCCAGCTTAGAGAACGTGACATCTGACGCAATCGTGACGTAGGTCGTCTCGGGACGAGCAAAGCTACGGCGCGGCTGACGTCGAGGGGATGGCCTAGTCGTTCCAGCCACCGAAGCGGCTGCTTTTGTACGAATTTTGAGTGACGGGTTAATCTTCTATATTCTTCTAGGGGGACAATAGCTACTTCTGGAACACACAAAATGCATTCTCGGGAAAACGGGAGTTCCTCCTTCACCTCTTCTCTCGTCGTGGTCGGAGGCGGGACACTCACCCTCACTAGCTGTCAAGGTTCCTAGACGGGCATTACAAATGAGGCGTTAGCGACATCCACCAGGTGCTCTTTGCTAATCGTTTAATTCGTTTTAAAATTCCTTTTCGACACTTTCTAACAAGATATTGGTGTGTTCTATGTGATACTGATCCTTTGAACATATATAGACCATAAAATAAGCGCCGAAATTTCGTTGTAGTATCCCTTTAAGCTCCGCATAGCCGGTAATGGCAAAACACCCAAAAACAAAGAGCCCCGTAAAGATGCTCTTTTGCGGCTGTTTCATTTGCTCCGTCAGGTCGCAGCGTTGGCCGTGGTCGAATTTAAAGTGAAACGGCGTGTAGACTTTTTCCTTCGAGGGCGCCGCCATCTTGAATCGCGGAACTTCTGGTATGCGGGAAAGTGTCGCATTGCTGTCGCCACTTCACAAGGAGGAGCTCACGTTTTAATCGCGACTCTCTAAATTTCTTGTTTTGTATTTTCTATATTCTTTTATACGCCAACTGCTGACTATTAAGAAAATAAAATAAAAACACACTTTTTCGCAAAAACATGTTTTTCAGTGGTCTACTCACGGGGCGCCATTATAGGAAGGGGAGGGAAAATAATAACGATTAGAAGTAATTTTATTACTTCCAAAAGTAAGCAAATTACTCATGTGTTTACTAACTTACTAAAGTCAGTAAACGATTACAAGATTACTAGAAATAGCAATCATTACAACTAATTCGACTGCTTGTGACGATTACCATGCAAGTCGGGATGCAGTCCACTATCTCCCAGAATACGGAAGTTGTTTGTCACTTTCGTCGATCCTACAAAACATGGTATTTACGTTCCAGCCGGAAAAATTCCACTTAGTAAAGGAATCTACGATGCTGGCATGGGAAATATTTCGCGCTTAATTCTTAGTATTGTGCACACTCGAGGAGTCATACGTAGATACCGCGTTTGTCGGATGCCCCTTGGATTCAAAACGGCTTTAAGCCGTCTTTAACGAACGCTCCGGCATACGCTGCTTAAAAACACGGCAAAACATATATATGACGGTCGTCACGAACGGTTCCTCGTGAGAATTGAATTCGCTTTAAAATACGTCTTTTAAACGTCATCGAACATATAAAGAAACTGTAAAAACAACTGTATCGTGTCACTGGCACATATTTTTGTAATGCATCAGTACCATAAAAGTACACTATTTATAGAAACGAAAAAAGGAAAAGAAGAAGAGCGACATATTTTTTTCCCTTTTTACAGAACGTGTAAACATTTTATTATAGTTTTATTGACAAATATAATTTATATTTATTGACAAACTTTATTTATCGACAATTTTGTTGACAAATACAATGGAAGTTTGTGTTTGTCCGTCGCTTCTCGTTTTTTTTAACAAGTTTAATTATTCCTACCAACCCGCTCGTTCCGTCCTCAGAATCCCCGGGGAAGGGATTGCTTTGCACGCTTCCTTGCACCTTTGCAATAATTGCATTATCATTATAGTTTTATTGATTGAGAATTTGACCTAAATAGCAAGTAATACTAAATTTAGTACTTCGTCAAGTCAAACTCAAAGAGCGTGTATTCTTGTTTTATATTATAGAAATAAACGTTTAGCGATTTTATATATCGAAACTAACTATATGGCACTAGCGAGCACCCAAATGGCGGCGAACATAATGCAAAATTAGCGGATATAGCCTCTCCGCCTTCACATCTGCTCGTTAAAAGAACACAAACATATTCTGATTGACTAAACATCCCTATCAAATTATCTAAACTCTGCATACTAAATTCACCACTCAAACCCCCTGTGCAACAGTTACTGATTCTCATGACGCGACAAAAAAAAAAGGTATTAATATTGCCACATATAAAAGGTTCATCACTAACACAACAGGAATAGATAAATGTCCTATTCAGTTTGATCTAACGATACTCTTTTAAATAGACACTGAGCTCTTATAGAAGATTTCGAAGTACCGAGACAGGACTCGCATGTCACAAACTTTTAGCGCAATGTTTACGGCCCAGCACACATCTTCAGTTAGGAGTAATTAAAAAACAGGCTTCTATGAGGGTCACCCCCAAGGTAATGCCTCTTTTTAAATAGCATCATGCGTTTTAAGGAAATAAATGAGAATATTTGATTTAATTCAGATATATTTGCTTTAAACCACTGCAGCTTGAAGAAACGTGATCCTTAATCACTAGATAAATGCATTCTTAAATATGGTTGATTGAATTATCAGCACACCCGATCACCGAAAACAACGGGGAGGGAGGGGTTAAAATCGCTCTAAATTTAAAGTGCAGTTTAATTAACAGCTTTGATTAACGTAAACCCCGCCATAATATAGTTAGTTTCACTTTAAGCCCGACAGCAGCCGGTGCATTGATTCGAGGGAACCAATTAAGCAGACTCAAAAGTGCATCCTCCAGGCGCTCGATTTTTTTTTTATGCGTGTGTGTGTGTGTATATGTGTGCGCGCGCGTGTGTGTGTGTGTGTGTGTGTGTGTGTGTGTGTTTGTGTGTGTGTGTTTGTGTGGTATGTTTGGCAATATCAAGCCCAACGCTGCAGATTTTCTCAGAAGAGCACCGATCGTTCTCGTGTTCGCCCTCCTGTTATAAACCTTTTTTGTTCGAATATTCTTTGATGTAAATAAAAGACAAATACGTGCAGAAAGCATCACATTATCGACAAGCGGTAAAAAATATATTTTCGGAATCATATTTGGGAAAAGGTTTGATCTAAACCATCGCAGTAAAACCGGTGGGTTTAAATCACGATTTAAATCGTAAATTAAATTGCTAAATATGATTTCAACTTCAATTTAAATCATCTTGATTTTTATGCACACCCTCGACTACAACTGATACATACAGCGCCACCCTGCTTCATGTTGACGACGGACCAGAGGGAGGCAAAGACAGATCGGGCGCTGGTCTGTCGATCTTCCTCTCGTCCGTCGTCACTTTGGGCTGTTTCCTTGTTTCAATCCATCACAAACTCGCCGGTGCGATTTTTTTTAATATACTGGTGCGAGTTAAATTAGCGTTTATTTCACACCCTCACATTTCTTGCGACTGGTCCGGGAAAAAGCTTCTCAGTGTCTCACACCAAACATAAACTTTAATAGCTTCAAGGAAACAAAAGGAAAACCTATCGCGATTTACAATTACGTCCCTAATTCAGATGTAAATATAACTGTGTTGCACCGATTTTGAGGCGAATCAGTGACTATGAAAATTTCAAAATTTACCAAAATTCATACCAGTATTTTCTACTTCCCCAATCCCTCGCCTCCTTGCGTAAATCGCAGCGAGTCGTTGTTGTTGTTGTTTATTTATTTATTTCTTTTTCGTTGTAAGAAAACGTTTACCCGCGGGATTATACTCAAAGAAATGATAGGGCCGTATTTCACAAAGAAGAATAAAATAAAAGGC